CAGTTTCTGCTTGCTGTTGCCGCGCAGGGTGGGTGGGGCGGGGCGGGGCTGGGGGCAGGCACAGGCCGGCAGGTTGGGCAGCACCAGTGGCACCCTGGGCAGCGCGTCAACTGCCTGGTGCCAGAGGCGAAAGGTCATCGGGTCGACCTGGAACTGCACCTCCAGCATAGGGCATGTCTCCGGCTGCAGCCCCAGGACCGAGCAGCAGCGGGCGGGCAGTAGCAGCCACAGGGCCTGCTGGAAGCCGGCTCGGGCCTCCACACGCACCTCGAACACTGTGCGGTCAGGCGCCGGCACGGGAGCCACAAGGGCCGTGCTGACCGCCCGGCCCAGCAGGAAGCCCTGGTCTGTGTCTGGCATCAGGGCAGTGGGCAGGGTGACCTCGGCATAGAGTGCCCCGGGTGGCGCGAAGAGCAGGCCCACAGCTGGCGTCTGCAGAGCCGCCTTCAGGGACACGTGGGCCCTCAGGTTCAGCCTGGGGAGAGGCCCGGCCCGGTCAGTTCAGGGCCCTGGTGCTGTCCCTCCCCCAACTGCCCACGCCCCACACTCACTTGGCCACTAGCCGCTGCTGCACAGCCTCCTCCTCATACAAGAACTGGTGCATCCGTTGCCGATAATTGTCGCAGGTGAGGGGCCCTGGGCTGGGCCCAGTGCTGCAGAACTCCAGGGCCAGGGCCGGTGCTTTGTACTTGGCCATCAAGGCCAGCTGCTCGGCAGTCCGTTCCACGCTGGGCACCACCTGGCGGTTGCCAGTGTGCCAGCGCTCCAGCTCCTGAGGGGGGTTGGGTGCCAGGGGGCCCTGGAGCCCCAGGTCATGCACCTGACCCAGCCGAAGTCGCAGCTTTCGAAGCAGGGCCGGCCGGCGCCCGAAGTCAAAGACCACCCACTGCTCAAAGGTGCCAAAGGAGGCCCCCCGCACGCGCACGCCCACCTGGAAGTCAGCTGAGGAGCCAGGTGTGCGGAAGTGCACCCCCTGGGCATATAGCTGGCCCAGGCACTGCGGCTGGCCCGTCACCAGGGAGAAGTCTGCCCCTAGCTCCTGTCTGAGCAAGGCCACATGCAGCAAGGGGTCCTAAAGAAGGAAGCTGGCAGTGAGTGCCAGGGCCCAACCAACTCCAGCTCACCCACTCTGAGCCTCTAGGTGCCTGTCTGCAAAACGGGGTTGCAGAACCTGCCAAGAGGCCCCTGTGGACACAAGGTGAGGTGCTGCCCACAGCAGGAAGGAGCAGGGCATGGCAACAACCTGCCTTTGCAGATGTGGCAGGCAGGGGGCACCAGCTGAGGGGCTGTCACCCGCCTCACCTCAGAGTGGATGTGGAAAGTCCAGCGGTGCTGGGTGGTCCTCTCCTGGGCCTCATGCACCAGCGGCTGGTCGCACGAGACCGACACGCCATCCACAGTTTCGGCCAGCTGCAAGGGGCTTAGTGGTCAGCAGGGCACCCAGCAGCCTCCAACCCACCCGCCATCCCACGGTCCCTTGAGGCTCACCACGAGGACTTCGCTGCTGCTGCGCTGGTAGTCGGCCAGCAGCCGAGCCTGGTAGGACACCAGCCCCTCCTGCCAGGCCGCCTGCTCCCGCAGTGTGACCGTCTGCACCCGCTGCACCCACTCCTGCAGCTCCTGGGCTGAGTGCGCCTTTGTGCAGGCCTCCCTGTACTCGCAGAGGTCTGGCCTGGGGGCGGGAGAGGCCATGGGGGCCCAGAGGCCCCCACACTGTTGGGGAGCCCAGGCCTCACCTGTCCCGTGTACCAGGTATCCCCAACAAGGCCCAGCTCCTCAGAGGCCTGGGGTCTCAGCCTGTTTTACAGGCAGGAATGGGGCCAGGTTCTGTGGACCAGGGTAGGGTCCCCGTGTGCCTTCACCCTCCCCAAGACTGTGCTTACCTGGGGCACAGCTGGAACTCAGAGAGCCCAGGGGGCGGGGCTCGGTGCTCCCAGGGCACGGCTGGGTCAAAGGCCACCATGCGGGCATGCTCAGGTGAGGCGCAGTGGTTCTCGAAGGCCTCCAGGGAGCCGCAGGTGAGCAGACAGACATGGCAATACAGTTGGAGCTCGGGGGGCTCCCCAGGGGGTGCCGTGGGCTGGTCACCCCCAGGGCCCGAGGACAAGAGCAAGTCCTCGCGCCGCAGCCCGCTCTGCCGCTCTGCCTCCCACACCGCCATCTCCACGTCACTGTGGGCGTACTGGCAGTGGGACACCCCGTGCCGGCATGGCTGTCCCCGCGCCACAAACCTGCAGTAGGCCAGCGGCTGCCTGAGCCTGGGCTGCAGCCGAACCTCCACGACCTGCTGCTTGTTCTCGCCAGGGCTCACGTGGGCCAGGAGTGGGCGGCAGGCCCTGTGCTCCGGGCACTGGGCGCCGGAATCCAGGGGGCAGAGGCGGGGCGGGCGGCGCCGGAAGCACCCGGAGCAGAGCAGCTGGAAGTGGCCCCCGAATTCGGCCCGGAGCGTGTCAGCGGGACCGTGGGGCCCGAGTGGGGCGCCGGCACCCCCACCCTGCACGGCCGCCTTTAGCCACAGCCGGGGGACGTTGTGCTCCCGCTCAAAGGTCCAGACCAACGCCTCCTCAGGGCTGCGGGCGAACGTGCAGCGGTTGTGGTGGCGCCGGCATCCTGCCCCGGGGCTGTAGTAGCGGCACACGAAGTAGCGGGCAGGCCGCGGGAAGCTGGGCCGCCGGCCCACCTGGCGCCAGGTCTGACGCCAGGCATTGGCCCTGCAACGGGCCAGCAGGAGCTCCCGGGGACAGCTGTGCTCCCCGGCGTCATGCAGCAGGTAGGTGCTGTCATCCAGGCGCTGGGTGCAGCGGGAGCAGCCCAGGCGCAGGTCCACCTTTCTGCTCAGGACAGTCAGCGAGGGCACCTTGTTGGCTGCGGGGCTGGCAGGCACAGGGCCACGTGCCAGGGACCCCATCTTGGGACCTGGCCTGGCTCTGCGGCGGGCGGGGGCGAGGTTCCCAGGTTCAGCTGGTCCCCTGGGAGGGAAGGGAACAGACTCAGGGCTGGGGCACGTGGGCAGAGAGGAGGCTGCAGGGCTGGCAGTCACAGCTAAGGCTCTGGAGGAGATGGCATCCATGGACATTGACCCAGCCACCCCCACCTCTGAGGGTCTCGGGGGCCTCCCTCGGGCAGCCAGCAAGGGGGCCGGGAAGGGAGGATTCGGGGGCCACAGCAGCCCCAGCCCCAGCAAGCCCTCAGAGGTCCCACTGGCCAGTGGGTTCCTGGGCCCCTCAGTGCCCCAGCTCTGGGTGGAGAGCATGGGGTCTCTGCTGCTTCCCCGATACAGGCACCGGGCACTTTTCTCAGAAAGTATACTGCACCCCACACCTGGAGGGGGCCAAAGCAGGCCCACACAACAGCACAGGAACTACGGGGGCTGGCCCTGCTCTGGTCACCCCACACCCATGGGCTTCCTGCTGCACTGTGGATGTCCCAAGATGGGGTGGGGGAAGGGAGTCAACTTCCTGCAAACAACTCTGGTTTAGTCCCAGGGAACTTTCTAGGAAAACCTTCCCCCCCCCCACCTCCCCTCAAAGATTGTCCTCGTAAATGACATGACTGTCAGCACAGCCCGGCTGCAGTGGAAACTTCGGAGCCCACCCCTGCAGCGGGGCTGTGCAACCCCCAAACCCATAGGATGCCCCCAATCGGGGCTCTGACGCCCATGTGGTCCAAACTAAAGGGCTTGGGGCTGGAAGTCCTGAGGTCACACTGGCCGCTCCTGGTGCCAACTCAGGAGGCTGCGTTGGACTGAGGGGAGGGGTCTGCAGGGGGCGGGGCAGGGGTCCTGCCATTCTGCTGTGGAGGACGTCAGCCAGCCTGGGTTCAGTGAGTCTGCGCCCCGCGGGACTACGGGTTTCCGGGCCTCCGGGCCCGTGAGCCCCCTCAGCGGGGTGCTGCCCCCCGTTGCTCTCCCTCAGCCAGGACCCTCCAGCCTCCGACCCAACCCCTGCTGCAGGGCCCAGGAAGGCACCTTCCCCAGGAGGGCGCTGGCGGAGTGGCTACCTGCCCGCAGAAACCCCCGACTCCATCTCCGAAAGCTTACCCTGCGGCGCCCCCACCGCTGTCCACGACCGCTGCTGAATGGCGCCCCATTCGGTCGCACCCGGGGACCCCGCCCCGCGCTGAGCGATCACTTTCGATTCTGCCCCTGGAGTGACTCAAACCTCTGACGCCAGATCGCGGAAATTACCTCACTGCCCCCCGCCCCGC